AAAGGGAGAGGTGGGGGTGGTGGTGTGGTATCTGAGAGCGATTGCAGAGAGCAGGCGAGAGATTGATAGCCTTTCCCTGATCAATAAACCCACATCTCACCCTCTCCCTGTCCCTGTCCCTCTCCCTCAACCTGTCCCTCACCCTCTCCGTGACCCTGTCCCTCACCCTGTCCCTGTGTGTGTTGGGGAGAGAGAGAGAGAGAGAGAGTGTGTGTGTGTGTGTGTCAGAATGTGATTGAGTGCGGATTTGCAGACGGACCTCTGCCTTTATAAAGAGGTTTATGTGAAGAACGGGAAAGAGAGATCTCACAAAGGAGAGACCTGCTGTGGATCCAAACCAACTGACCCCAGGAGTGGGGGGTGGGTGTGTGTGTGTGTGTGTGTGTGTGTTGGGGGTGCGGGGGGGGTTGGTGAAGAAGCTGGAACTGGACAGAGGGATTGCCAAGCAACCAGGAATGAGGTGAGTGTTAAATCCTTGGTAAACATTTTCGGGATCTGTTTCTGTTTCGGTGTAAACTGTACGGGTCTGGGATAAATTAACAGCAAGTTCCCTGTCTCATCCTTGTCTCCAGAGCCCGTGTGGGCGAATCAGTCCCGGTTTGGGAGGATTTCTGGGGAGAAGGAGGGGTTTTAATCAACTTTGCTTCTGCTGTGATTTTGCCCCCTTCAGTGGTGGGGGGGAGGAGAAGGATGTAGCAGGAGAAAATTAAACAGGAATAAAGAGAGAGAGAGAGGGTCAAAGTCACAGGAGACTGAAATTGTGAACAGTATAATGTGAGAGAGGATGGAATCATTTGTGGTCTATTCTTTCAAGCTGCCGGCAGGACATGTAGTGGAGGGGCTGAATGGCCTCTTGGGAACAACCTCTTGATAGAGAGAGGGAGAGACACAGGCTCAGAGACTGGGGAGAGAGGAATGGAGAGACCAGGAGGGCGACAGCAGAGAGAGAGAGAGAGAGAGAGATGGGTTCAAGGAGTGAATGAGGGGGATAGGGATGGGGGGAGATGGGAGAATGCAGAGAGGGATAGTATGAAGGAGAGGGATGGGGGGAAACCGAGTGGTTAGAGACCCACAGGGGATGGCGGTGGTGTGGAGAGAGGGAATGGGGCAGGGAGAGGTGGAGAGCAGTTTAAAGGCCAGTGTTTTCAGGGAGAGGGCTAGTGTCAGAATGGGGCCGTTTTGTTATTGTGCTCTGGCAGCGTCCCACACCCAGGGCCCCCAAGTGTCTCAATGGAAAGCAGAGCGCTGCTGAATAATGGATGGAGAGGTGATTAAAATTTAAATAAGGCCGCGACTGAGCCATCAGTGTTTGCTGCAGTTTACGTGGGAGTATGTGACTGTGAGAGAGACAGAGAGAGAGAGTGTGTGTGAGTGTGAGAGAGAGAGTGTCTGAGGGAGAGAGAGTGAGTGAGACAGGAAGAGAGATAGAGTGAGGGTGAATGAGAGAGAGTATGAGACAGTGTGTAAGAGAAAACGTAAGAGAGAGAGTGAATGTGAGAGAGTGTGTGTGTGCATGAGATAGAGAGTGAGTGTGCATGAGAGAGCAAGAGTGCATGTGTGAGAGACAGCGAGCAGGTGATAGAGAGTGTGAGAGAGAGATAGAGAGAGAGAATGGGTGTTTGAGAGAGAGTGTGTGTATGTGTGTGTGAGAGAGTGTGTGTGTGTGTGTGTGAGAGAGAGGTCATAAGACATAGGAACAGAATGAGGCCATTTGGCCCATTGTGACTGCTCTGCCATTCGATCATGGTTGAGATGTTCCTCAACTCCATTCTCGTGCCTTCTCCCTGTAACCCTTGACCCCCCTTACCAATCAGGAACCTGTCTATCTCTGCCTTAAAGACACTCAATGCTTTAGCCTCCACAGCTCCCTGTGGCAATGTGTTCCACAGATTCCCCACACTCTGGCTGAAGAAATTCCTCCTCATCTCAGTCCGTCCCTTCACTCTGAGGCTGTGCCCTCGGGTCCTAGTCTCTCCTTGTAAATGGAAACATCTTCTCCATGTCCACTCCATCCAGGCCTCTCAGTATTCTGTAAGTTTCAATCAGATCCCCCACCCCATCCTTCTAAACTCCATCGAGTACAGACCCAGAGTCCTCAACCACTCCTCATATGACGCACCCTTCATCCCTGGGACAAAGTAAACGTCCTCTGCTCCCCCCCAAAGCCAGCACATCCTTCCTTAGATACGGGGCCCAAAACTGCTCACAATATTCCAAATGCGGTCTGACCGGAGCCTTACACAGCCTCAGCAGTACATCCCTGCTCTTGTGTTCTAGCCCTCTCGAAATGAATGCTAACATTGCGTTTATAAGAACATAAGAACTAGGAACAGGAGGAGGCCATCTGGCCCTTCGAGCCTGCTCCGCCATTCAATAAGATCATGGCTGATCCTTTCGTGGACTCGGATCCACTTACCCGCGTTCTCACCGTATCCCTTAATTCCTTTATTGTTCAAAAAAAATCTACCTTTTTTTTTAAAAACATTTACTGAAGTAGCATCAACTACTTCACTGGGCAAGGAATTCCATAGATTAACAACCCTCTGGATGAAGAAATTCCTTCTCAGTTCAGTCCTAAATCTGCTCCCTCTAATCTTGAGGCTATGCCCTCTTGTCCTAGCTTCACCTGCCAGTGGAAACATCCTCTCTACTTCTATCTTATCTATTCCCTTCATAATTTTATATGTTTCTATAAGATCCCCCCTCAATCTTCTGAATTCCAATGAATATAATCCCAATCTACTCAGTCTCTCCTCATAAGCCAACCCCCTCAACTCCGGAATCAACCTAGTGAACCTCCTTTGCACCCCCTCCAGTGCCAGTACATCGTTTCTCAAGTAAGGATACCAAAACTGCACACAGTACTCCAGGTGTGGCCTCACCAGCACCTTGTACAGCTGCAACACAACCTCTCTGCAGCCTCCCACCTCCTTAACGCTCCCTGTCCCTCCGCCTATCTTTGTGTCATCTGCAAACTCTGTATCAATGCTCCCAGTTTCTCCATCCAGATCGTTAATGTATAACGCGAAAGCTGTGGTCCCAACGCGGACCCCTGCGGAACTCCACTAATCACCGGCTGCCATCCTGAAAAATTATCCTGTTTATCCCCGCTCTCCGCTTTCTGCCAGTCAGCCAATCCTCTATCCATGTGAGGTAGAGAGTGTGTGTATGTGTGAGAGTGTGTGAGTGTGTGAGTGTGAGTGTGTGAGTGTGAGTGTGTGAGTGTGAGTGTGTGTGTGAGTGTGTGTGTGTGTGAGAGTGTTTGTGAGAGTGTGTGTGAGAGTGTGTGTGAGAGTGTATCTGTGAGTGTGTGTGTGAGAGTGTGTGTGTGTGTGTGTGACAGAGAGAGAGAAAGTGCGTGTGCATGAGTGTGTGTGAGATAGTGTGTGTGAGTTTGTGTGTGTGAGAGAATTTGTGAGTGTGAGTGTACACGTGTGTATGCGATAGTGTGTCTACAAGAAAGAGTTGTGTGAGATTGAGCAAGTGTCTGTGTTTGTGAGTTAGTGAGTGAGTGTGTGTATGTGTGTGAATGTGTATGAGCATGTGAGAGTGTTTGTAGGTGAATGTGTGTGTTTATGTGTGTGTACGAGAATTGAGAGAGCAAGTGTATGTGTGAGCGAGTGTGTGTGAGCGAGCGAGTGTGTGTGTGAGCATGCGTGTGTGTGTGAGCATGCGTGTGTGTGCGAGAGTGTGTGTGTGTGCATGAGTATGAATGTGTGTGTATGTGAGTGTGTGTGTGTGTGCATGTGTGTGATTGAGTGTCTTTGTATGTGTGTGCATGTGTTTGTGTGTGCAAGTGAGTGCGAGTGTGTGTGTGCGCGCATGTGTGTGTGAGTATGTGTGTGCACGTGAGTGTGCATGAGTGCAAGTGAGTGTGTGTGCGCGTATGAGTGTGTGTGTGTGAGCGTGCAAGTGAGTGTGAGTTAAAAGCACTCAAAATGTGCCCTGGAATGTGTCTGCAACACAGTTAGCCAGGAAAATCCCTGGTTTGTTTATTTAAAGAGGGAGAGAGACTCTGCAAAATGTGAAGGAGCCAGCAATGATTCAAGAAAGAGTTCAAACGGGTAATGTAGGGAAGTCAGTTGTGCAATGGAACAGTATAGCAGTGCCAGGGAACTGAAAAATATTAATTCAGTCTCTGCTAACATTCAGGATCATTGTCCATTCGAGAATCATGAGACAGATAAGACAACAGGGGAGAGAGATTTCTCTGACTATGTACCTGTTCAGCAGTGATTCAAACAGGTACCTGTGTCCCAGTAACACACTCACCTGTCCCTCAAACAGGTATGTGTGTCGCAGTGAGGAACATA